CTTAATATATAACAAGTTGTAATTATATTGGGGTTTCTTTCTGACCTGTCTAAGCTAGTTTATTTACCTGTCTGTTGATTTTGGCATCAGTATCACACTAGTTCAATCACAATGGCTTTATAATATATGGTGTTTTAATATCTGGTAGAGCAAGACTATTCATTATTTTTCCTCTTTGAAAATTTCATAACTTTCTAAACTCCTTCCAACCCCACTTGGTCTTTTATATAAATTTTAGTATTAAGAAAATTTGCATTGAGGGCTTGGATTGAAATGCCACAAAATCTATTCTTTAACCAACTGATAAGTTTGTAAGTAAGGATCCCATGACAGTACTCCAGGCTTTGTCCCTGAACTGTTATTTCCCCATTGTCAAGTGAGGATTAAAGTCATAGACCTTGGCCTGGGACTAGCTCCATGAGCTCAGCAAGTCATCTAACCTCTCCGTGCCTCAATTTTATCATATATACAGTGATTCTTGTCATTTTATAGAATCAGAAATCAACTAGCACAGTCTGTCACAAACAAACCTCAAAACATTTAACAATTAAATTTTATTCTTTTTACTCCAAAAGTAATTTTTAAGTCTTCTCTAAAGGAAAGATTATATGGAAAAAAACAAAGGCAATAAAACTGGCAACACTGGGTATCTTCAACTACATCTAAGTTTATCATGCTGAATTGCATCAGAAGGACAGGGATTTTTTTTCTGTCATCCTACCTCACACACATACACCATAGTACATGATAGACATTTAACACATGTTTGTTGAATGAACGCTGTGAAAAGAAGTGAAAGGTAAAGGAGAAAAGGAAAGGTATACCCATTTGAATGCAGAGTTCCAAAGAATAGCAAGGAGAGATAAGAAAGCCTTCCTCAGTGGTCATTGCAAAGAAATAGAGGAAAACAATAGAATGGGAAAGACTAGAGATCTCTTCAAGAAAATTAGAGATACCAAGGGAGCATTTCATTCAAAGATAGGCACAATGAAGGACAGAAATGGTATGGACCTAACGGAAGCAGAAGATATTAAGAAGAGGTGGCAAGAATAGATAGAAGAACTATACAAAAAAGACCTTCATGACCCAGATAATCACGATGGTATGATCACTCACCTAGAGCCAGACATCCTGGAACGGGAAGTCAAGTGGGCCTTAGGAAGCATCACTATGAACAAAGCTAGTGGAGGTGATGGAATTCCAGTTGAGTTAATTCAAATCCTAAAACATGATGCTGTGAAAGTGCTGCACTCAACATGCCAGCAACTTTGGGAAACTCAGCAGTGGCCACAGGACTGGAAAAGGTCAGTTTTCATTCCAATCCCAAAGAAAGGCAATGCCAAAGAATGCTCAAATTATCACACAATTGCATTCATCTCACACACTAGTAAAGTAATGCTCAAAATTCTCCAAGCCAGACTTCAACAGTATGTGAACCGTGAACTTCCAGTTGTTCAAGGTGGATTTAGGAAAGGCAGAGGAACCGGAGATCAAATTGCCAACATCCACTGGATCATTGAAAAAGCACAAGAGTTCCAGAAAAATATCTATTTCTGCTTTATTGACTATGCCAAAGACTTTGACTGTGTGGATCACAACAAACTGGAAAATTCCTAAAGAGATGGGAATACCAGACCACCTGACCTGTCTCTTGAGAAATCTGTACGCAGGTCAGGAAGCAACAGAACTGGACATGGAACAATAGACTGGTTTCAAATAGGGAAAAGAGTACATCAAGGCTGTATATTGTCATCCTGCTTTTTTAACTTATATGCAGAGTACATCATGAGAAATGCTGGGCTGGACAAAGCACAAACTGGATTCAAGATTTCCAGGAGAAATATCAATAACGTCAGATATGCAGATGACACCACCCTTCTGGCAGAAAGCAAAGAAGAATTAAAGAGCCTCTTGATGAAAGTGAAAGAGGGGAGTGAAAAAGTTGGCTTAAAACTCAGCATTCAGAAAACTAAGATCATGGCATCCGGTCCAATCACTTCATGGCAAATAGATGGAGAAACAGTGGAAACAGTGACAGACTTTATTTTGGGGGGGCTCCAAAATCACTGCAGATGGTGAATGCAGCCATGAAATTAAAAGATGCTTACCCCTTGGAAGAAAAGCTATGAACAACCTAGACAGCACATTAAAAAGCAGACACATTACTTGGCCAACAAAAGCCCATTTAGTCAAAGCTATGGTTTTTCCAGTAGTCATGTACGGATGTGAGAGCCGGACTATAAAGAAAGCTGAGTGCCGAAGAATTGATGCTTTTGAACTGTGGTGTTGGAGAAGACTCTTGAGTCCCTTGGACTGCAAGGGGATCCAACCAGTCCATCCTAAAGGAAATCAGTCCTGAATATACACTGGATGGACTGACACTGAAGCTGAAACTCCAATACTTTGACCACTTGATGCAAAGAACTGAGTCATTGGAGAAGACCTTGATGCTGGGAAAGAATGAAGGTGGGAGAAGGGGACAACAGAGGATGAGATGGTTGGATGGCATCACCGACTCAATGGACATGAGTTTGAGTAGGCTCTGGGAATTGTTGATGGATAGGGAGGCCTGGCGTGCTGCAGTCCATGTGATCACAAAGATCAGAGAAGGATGTAAATGAAAGAATAAATGAATGAATGATGATGGTTCTCCTGATCTTAGAATTCCAGAACAGTAAGGTCAACAACCATCCCCACTTTTTGTCAAAAAGCCAGGGAGAATCGCTTTAAACTCTTCTAAGGAAAAACAGGCTAATAACACACTAATACTGTTTAAGATATCATTCAGTTCAGTTCAGTTCAGTCACTCACTCCTGTCTGACTCTTTGCCACCCCATGGACTGCCGCACGTCGGGCCTACCTGTCCATCACCAACAGGCTGCAGGGGGAATGGGAAGTTACTGATTAATGGGTACAGAGTTTTGGTCGGGGAAGAGAAAAATATTCTGGAGATCTACGGTGATGAATGTTTGTACAGTGACATGAATGTACTTGATGCCATTGAACTGTACACACAAAAAATAATTAAGATGGTAAGTTTTATGCTATGTATATTTTACCACAATTTTTTAAAAGTTACAAAGCTGTTTAAAGATACTGTCAGAACTAATTTTACAGAAAGAAAGCAAAAGACTGCTGCATATAAAGTTGGCTCACCTATTTTGTTAGCTGATTGTGTTACTATTTTGGCAACATCACTGAGTTCCAGTTCATACTGCTAACCACACAACAGGCCAATAAATCAAGAGATAAGTTACTGGGACAAGGAACTGCGACCTTATTCAGAAAGTTGGCAGACAGAGAAGATGGAAACTAGTGTCCCAAAGAACTATCTTCCTGAAGTTACAATTTAGTCTTCTTTTATACTAAAACAGGAGGGAGTAGTCTCCGCTGTGTTAATTTCTTCCTTCCTTCAGTCATTCACAGATGGGCCTGATCAGGATGTTTTCTGTGAACTAAATAAATTTTTTTTTAACTTAATTCTCATTATCCAAAAGACAGGGTTCCCAGAAATATGCCTGTATGCTTAGTTATGCAGTCCTGTCCAACTCTGTGAAATTCCATGGACTGTAGCCCGCCAGGTTCCTCTGTCCATGGGATACTATTTCCAGGCAAGAATACTGGAATGGGTTGTCATTTCCTCCTTCAGGGGATCTTCCCAACCCAAGGATGGAACACAAGTCTCCTGCATTGGCAGGCAGGTTATTTACAGCTAAGCCATCAGGAAAGTTTCACAGAAACGTGCCATTATGTATAATTTAAGCTTATAGGTAGCATCCCTTTAGTGATTAACTTGTAATAGAATACAAAGGTTCTTCCATATTACAATTGCAAAAGATAACCCTCAGCTGTGGGGAGAGAAAAGAAAGGTTATCAAATGCGCTAGAGTTAGGACTAGATGCCTGCTTGACCCTGGTCCCGGAATTCTCTGATTCTACCCTAATAGGAGCTCATGCTGGTCTTCCCTGCCAGCTAGCCTTAGTCAATCCCTCCCCAGATCATAAGCCATGTTCCAAAAAACTTGAACTTCTAAAGAAAGGAGTCTGCACTCAACTTCCCTTTCCATAAGACTCCTGTCCAATAATGTAGAGGTAAATGGCACACAGGGACATCGATTCATAAATCAATACATCTATTAACATACTAGCTTTGCCAAGCTAACACATACTCCTTGATCCTCGTCTAGGAGGGCAATAGGTGGCTGGTATTTGCCTCACTTGCTATACAAAGGAGCCCCACAAAAGGTTCATTCCAGACCCAAGGACTTTTGTTATAAACATGAACTGAAAGTTCCTTGTACTACAGACTGAAAACAGCAGTTTTAACAAAATGGCAAAGCTCCGCGCTACCCACCCCCTGCTCCGGGAAAAAAATTTTAAAAATGATTTAAGCGCTTTTCACCTGAAGTTTAATACACGATATACATATTTTAAAATATATATTTTTAAGACCTAGACACATTCACGGAACTACAGCATTGCCATTAACAACATGATTATATGACCATTATGGCTGAGAGAAAAGAGAGATCTGCAAAATTTACAAGAGGGACGAGGAAGGAAGAACCGGACATAGGAAGAACTGGCCGTAACTGTGGGCTTCTAGCAAGTAGCATCCTAAACTAATGGAGGATACAGGAGAAGCAGGTTGAGCGAGAATTTAAAGAAAGAGACACTGGTGCAATGAACAGATAGGTAGGAAAGGGTGGAAGAAAAGGAGGTGAATGAGGACAAAGGTTTAAGAGGTTGTGTAAACCGCTCAAGAAGGGAGGAACAGGTGAATAGCGTCACAATCCACCATCAGTATCACAGCTCCGCTTCCAGATTGTTATTTTGCCCAAATTCCGTTGAATACCGCGAGAACGCTAATCCCATTAACTATCCCCGCCTTCCCGAACGCTAAAGACCCGCCCCCTGCGGCCCAGGTCCCGCCCCTCGTGTCCTCGCTGTCTGCGGCAGTGTTAATAAAGCTGTAGCGGTTTGACATTTGCGGTCGACAAGATGGCTCCCTCCATGTTCGGCTCTCTGCTGCGGATCGTCCGGCAGGTCTGGCCCGCGCCGTTATACCCTTCTTCCCTTCTACTCTGAACTTCCAAACACACAGGTCCTCCCTCCACTGTTCTGTCACCAGGAGCGCCCAGTGCAGACCTGTTCTAGGGTCCTCTGTCTATCCGCTTCCCTCTTCCGGCTTGATTCCGGGGAGGGCCGAGCTGCAAATGTAAATTTTAAACTTTATTATTTGTAAACTTAGAGCTTTTTTTGGAAACTTAGAGCTTAGGGTTATTTGTAAACTTAGAGTTGACTGGTGTTGAAAGCCTGCAGGCTGACTCTAATTTACGAGTGTAGGTGGAGACAGAAGGTGTCTGAAGAATGAGGCCCCCCAAACCTCCCAATGTTAAAAGAGAAGCCTAGCAAAAGAGACTTGAACAGAGCGAGGGAGGAGAGCGTGGTGGCCTGGAAGCACTTCAGGAGCAGCGAGTGGGGAACTCTGGTTAAAGTCAATTAAAAGAAGGGCTGAGAATTGCCCGTTGGGTTTGCGTGCGTGCCTGCTCAGTAGCTTCCGATTCTCTGAGACCCCAGACTGTAGCCCGCCGGACTCCTCTGTCCATGGGATTCTCCAGGCAAGAATACTGGAGTGGGTTGCCGCGCCGTCCTCCAGATCTTCCTGACCCAGGGATCAAACTGGCGTCTCCTGGGACTCCTTCATTGGCAGGCGGATTCTTTACCACTGCGGCACCTGGTAGCCCCTCTGTTGGGGTTAGCAGCGTGGAAATTGTTGGAACCTGCATCATAGCAGTTTCGATGGTGTGGTGGGGGTGAAAGTATTAGAGACAGAATAGGAGGAAAGAAATGCATTGTATCTTTCCTACAAACACAGACTACAAACGTAGACTAACCTTTGAAGACGTTTTGCTGCAAAAAGGAACAGAAAATTGGGTCAAAAGCTGAAGAGGAGGTGGGTTAAGAGTGGGTGTTTTGTGGTGTTTTCTATTTTTAACGTGACAGAAGTCAGTGTTTCTGTGTCAAAGGGAAAGATTCTGTAGAGAGGGTAAAACAGATAATGTAGGAGAGGGAAGAATTGCTGAAGCTTTGCTTGTGTAGGCAAGAGGTTTAGTGTTAGATTATTTGGTCTTCAAAACATGAACAGTTAATCTGTAATGGCGTTGTCCGATAGAAATAAAATACCAACCACATTTGTAACTTACAATTTTCGAGTAGCCAGATGAAATTAATTTTAATCAAATTAATTTAAAAGCAGATGAAATTAATTTTATTAAAATATTTTAAATACGTTTATCAAAAATATTGTATTTCAACATGTAATCTCTAAATATGATATGTGAGATCTTACATTCTTTTTTCATGCTAAATCTTCAAAATCAGGTTTGTATTTTACACTTAGAGTACATCTTAATTTGGATTCTAAACGTTCCACCATTAAGATGGAAAATGTCCTATCAAAACTAAAATTTTTTAATGTTTGCCTTGCTTATGTTTAGATTTTTTTCATTACAATTAAATAAAATTTAGAATTACATTCCTCTAGTTACTTTTCAAGGGCTCACTAGTCATGTGTGGTTAGTGGCTACTGTATTGGACAGAGCCGATCTTTAATAGGAGGAGGGATATGTAGTGCATATGATTGCAGATACTTTTTAAAAAATTTATTTTCTTGAAGTAGAGATGATTTACAATGTTATGTTCATTTATGCTGTACAGCAAAGTGATTCAGTTGTACATATTTTTTCATATTCTTTTCCATTATGGTTTATTACAGGATATTGAATTTAGTTCCCTATGCTATACAGTAGGACCTTGTTTTTCCATTCTATATATAATAGTTTGCATCTGCTAATCCCAAAGGCCTTATCCAGCCCTTCCCCACGCCCCCTCCCCCTTGGCAACCACAAGTCTGTTTATATATCTGATTATAGATGCTTTTGATTTCATAATTGAAGAGAAAGTGAAGTCATCAGCTAAACATGGGGATGTGGGAGCAGGTGTCAGGGATTTAAAGAAAGAAGAGATGGTGTGAAATAGTCAAGAGTAGATCAGAAGAATAGTGGCAAGAATTAGAGCCATTAAGGTGAAGTGCAAGAGGGATCAGGGAGTTGAGGGTGTATGAAAGACAGTATTGTGTTTATAGACCATGGAATTCAGGTGGCTCAGACTGTAAAGAATCCGTCTGCATTGTGGGAGACCTGGGTTTGATCCCTGGGTTGGGAAGATCCCCTGGAGGAGGGCATGGCAACCCATTCCAGTATTCTTGCCTGGAAAATCCCCATGGACAGAGGAGCCTGGCTGGCTACAGTCCATGGGGCAGCAAAGAGTCAGACACGACTGAGTGACTAAGCACACAGGAGATAGGAAATCAAAAGCTGAGAGACAGGTGAAAAGCTGGTAGGAGCAACGGATTAAAAGTTCCAGAGGGGCTGTTATTAGGGTGTTAGAAAGAAACATGCTAGAAAGAAGTGATAGAGTATGAGATACACACAATTGGATGATAGAAAACTTTCACCCACTGGGAATAAAAGACCTCCAGCATGGAAGTGAATAGGAAAAGAAGAGTGGAGGACAAAATGAATGGAGTAAAAGAGTTCGAGGAATGGAGAGATCAGGGTATAATTTCACTTGTGTTGAGATCACCGGGAACTAAGACAGGAGGAGTGACAGCCAGGATTGACAGTGAAAAATGAAAGGGAGTGGTGGGGGCTGTGGTAGATGACTGCAGTGGTGGAAGTATAACCCAGTGGCACGTGAGTCACAGCTTCCTTTCAGGAAGGAGGTACAGTCTGGAAGCTGCAGTAAAGAGCAAGAAAGCTTCCTCCCAGTTGTGGGAGAAAAAGAGCTATAGGGAAAACTATTGAGCAAATATCTGGAGGAGCTGTTAAGAGAAGTTGAGGATTTAGAAGATATTGATGATGGTAGACCATGAGTTGAAGACAGTCCAATGGAATAGTTTTAGGAGATGAAGAGGGGTGAGAGAGAGGGGTAGGTTAGAATATGTACAGAACAGAATGGAAGCAATCTTAACATGTAAAGCACTGTAATAAACTGGTAAGAAAATACAATATAATAGAAATGTGGGCAGAGGAGATGTAAGAGACCAGTAAATGTTTATTTTAAAAGTGTATTGCCTTTATAATCAGAGAAAAAAGTTGTACAGAAAGAATAAAAAGTTCTTTGTTTTTTCTTAAATAAATAGAAACGTGTTAGGAGACGGTAGAGAGAACATTATTTAGCGATAGTCTGGAAGAGAATTGAAGGGGAAAATATTTAATTTTGCTTTCTAATTCTCTTTTGCTTTCATTTTCATAGGTAACAGCAGACATTGCATTGCCCCTTCAGAATTGTTTCTTTCAGCCAGAATGACCTCCTTGGACCTTACCACTCTATCTTGTCCATTTCCTCATTTGGTTTGGAAAAACTTCACCTTCTCTCCCTTCCCCCGCTTCCTAACTGTATCAGAATTCTGTCAGGCCTTCAAAGCCTTGCCTAAGCCCTCTTTCCATGACGCATATTTCCAGCCACTGTGACCATGGTACTCATTTGAGTCAGTCATGAATGAAATTTCAATATCGATTTGATACATGCTGTCTTATTTCCAGAAGATGATTTTAGATTTGTCGTATTTCCCCTTGAGACTTTGAAGCATTGAAGGCAGTTTATCTTTTGTTGATAGGTTGAAAAAAAAAAAAAGATTATCTTTTTAGTCTAGTAGTCTCATTTTCAGTTTTATATTCTGTATCATGCTGTACATGTATTTCTAAAACAGCAGTTATAAGAGGCCATCATCATTTTCCATAGCTGTAATTTAATGAACATACAGTATCTGCTCTGGTTTGGGAAAGACTTGAGTTTCTAATGGCCTATATCCTGTGTGTACCGTTAGAAGTGTTGGCTCTCACCATGTAAACATGTGACAATGAGGAACTCTCTGTCTTATTACTGGACAACTCACGCTAAGAAATGAGTTTTGAGTGACAATTTCAAAGTACCCATTGACCCAGCAGTTCTGCTTCCAGGAATTTATCCTGCTGATATATACAAATATATATGAAATGATTTACATAAGACATTATTCACTGCAGCATTGTTTATAATGATAACTGGTGAGGTATGGTCTAGTTATCCACCAGTAGGTCACAGGATAATAAATCATGATGCATCTGTGGGGAGAAAAAAAGTTCTCAGCTGGAGCCCTTGTGTCAATGGCAAGAGAAAAGCATACAAATTTGTAAGTTTTACCCAACACAGGAGTTTTCATAAGGAAAGACGAACCAAACGAGTTAAACCTAAGTGGGTTTTGTGCTAGAGTTAATGAAGCCTGGTAAGTCATGGGAAAATGTGGTAAGACTAAAGGCATGAGCTATGTGTAGAAAACTAAAGGAAGGTTAGCATGGCCTGTTATTCAGATTCTTCTCAGTGTTCCTCAGGCTTCAGAGATAAGGATGCTTCTTTTATACCCTGGGTATACGAAGGAACCCTCTCGTGAGGGTCTTGTGACCTGTTTCAGGGAAAGGTCAGAAAGTCCTTCATGCACCTGCTGTTTCTCAGATTCCTTTTGCTTGAAATAAACAGTATGCCAAAGGAGCCCTATTTTGAGATAGTGTCTCCTGAACTTGGTCATTTCCATATAGAGGAATATTATGCAACCTAAAACAATTTGGAAGCTTTTAAACATGGATATAGAAAGAGCTCTAAAATCTGTTGTTAGATGTGAAAAAAATGGGTAGGAGAGGAAACATGGGAGAGGGAGTGTGTACGTGTATTTTATAGGCAAAAATCTCTGGAAGGCTACAGAAAATAAATTAGTAACTGGTTACCTCTGGGATGGGGGTATGGTCACTGGGCAGGTAAGGGATGATGTGGGAGGATGAATCCACTTTGTGTCTTTTTTTTATTATTTTTTTTTATTGAACTGTAGTTGATTTACAGTATTGCTTATATTTGGTATTGTGTGTGTGTTCCTTTTCTTAATTCTTTTCCATTATAGGTTATTACAAGATACTGAATATAGTTGCCTGTGCTATACTCTAAATTCT